GGGATTCCTCGCACCTCTGCCCGTGGCTGTCTTGTCTGGGCCAGCCCAAGCGCTGGTTGTTTACGTGCAGTTTTCGAAGGGTTTCGAGGAGACAAAAACAATTCTCCTGAGCTGCCAAACAATTTCACCCAAACCATACCAAACCCTCCAATCTGACATAGACCAACATGAACGGCGCCGATTCAACCGTAACGAAGAAAGGAACGAAGAAAGGCGGAAAGAGGGGACCAAAAGCAGGTTCAACGAATGCTACTGGGAAAAAGAACAGAGGCTGAAGAAGCACTCAATAAGCTGTCCGAAAGTGCCTCTGCTTTGGGTATCAACCAGGCAGCCACTGTGCATCTTGACAGGTTTGCTAGGGCATTGAATGTGGCTAGGGCTGCTAGGGCAGGCAAACGTAAACGTGACGGCTCTATCCATTCGTACTTTACTAGTGGAACCGGCCCTTGAAAGCCTTATATTTATTCTCTCTAATATATTTATCGAAATCCGCAATCCCCCCCCCATAAATAATAGAGCGAGTCAACTGTAGGCGTTGCTTGCTTGAGCGAGAGCTGGTCACTATGGCAACTCCTTTGATAGTACTTCTCGGCTTGGAACAAACCTAGCTAGCTAGCTAGCTACAGTACCTTGCAATACCCGAATAGACCAGCGTTCGCTACCAGTCCCTCATCTTGAATGTAATAAAAACCTGCGGAGAGGCAAGGCAGAAGGCAGAGCGACGCAGCAACGCAAAGTAGTACCAGGTACTGAGTAGCTGGCTAGCTAGATACGAGTACTCGGAGTACAACACCTTTCGGCTTTTGCCGCGATTTGAAAGGAGGGGTGCACAAGGGGCACAACGTTTTTCGTCACTGAATTGAATTCCTCTTTGGCGCCGCAACGCACCATCTTACTAAGGCTTTTACAACGCGGCAGCAGGCTCATTGTTGAACACGCACGTGTTCGCACTCACGCAAAGAAGCTACTACATGTAGTACAATAATCCATCAGCTTCGCGTTCATCGACCGACATATTGGCTTTCTGCGTGTTGGGTGGCCTTGCAAAGTCAACCATCAACCAACTCTAACAGGAAGCAAAAATCAAGATTGTAAGATTATTGGAACATCCAAGGGACTACAATGTCACGCAACTTTCTAAATGTCAAAAATGTCCCAATCCTCTAGAATATCCTATTTGTTATGAGGCGGCAACCAGACTGCCACTGCGGCCACACATACATGCATGGCTAAAAGCCTACTATGCACAGTAGATCAGGTGTGTCCAGATGGGGTCGTGGCAACAAGCCAGTTGATAGTTCTGCCCCCCGAAAGTGCATCCCCACCAGCTTGTACACAAGAAGGAGTGAGGGAAGCCTCACCTAGGTGGTCCCCTCCATCGCTTGCTGCTGTCAGAATTATCTTGGTCTTCGTCCCTGGAGCGTTTCGCAGCCCCAACCCCAGCCCTCCCCAACGCCCCAGTACTAGCACCAGCACTGGCTACTCCCGCACCACCAAGCAGCTGGGACACCCTTCTTGCCGAGTCCTGGTTTGCCGCCATGGCGGCAACACTAGCCTGTTGCTCTTGCAGATTTGTGTTGTGGAGCAGCAATGTAGCCCGGGCTGCACCCCCCAACAAATCTGTCGCTGAAGGGGCTGCAGCCGCCACCCCTGGAGCGCGAGCCGCCGCGATGCTGTCTGCAGCAGCCAGATAGTCGAGCATATTGTGCGCACCTGCCTGTGGAGCCAAGGAGGACGACAGCTGATCCAAGCCTGCAGGAGGTCGTGCCATTGCAGAGCTCCTCCTTCTCGCCAGGGCTTCCAGGCTGCTTGCATGCGGGTTAGTTCCACTTTGCAATGCAGTGGCACCGGAGCGATTTAGTGCTGCCATCTGGGATCTAGCCAGAATGGATTCTTCCAGTTGCCGAAGCTGAGCTGACTCCATGAGGGTGCGAGACGCGTTCAGCTGGGCCAGTGCATGGGCATGGCTGCTATCCCCGGAACCTGCTGCAAATCCGGCAGTGCCAGCTGAGGGAAAGGAGAGTTGGTTTGCAGCATTCAGTCTCGCCGCAATGTTTGCAAAATCTTGTTCCTGATCTGTCCTGGGCACAAGAGAACCCGCTCCCCAAGATGCCAAGCCTCCTAATTGAAGATTCCCCCCTCCTTGAAGGTTGGCACCACCTAGCAGGTTACTACCACCCATGAGATTGCTTCGCGTCAAAAGATCCCCTACTCCAGCGTAGTTGGAGCTCTGAGGCAGCGAAGCAGCTGATGGTATACCAGCATGGAGTTGGCTCTGGGCGGCGGAGAATAGACCACCAGTCATTGACCGGCTGGTGTCGGTCAGAGCCTGCATCTGAAGCTGGTTGATCATCTGCAGTTCTGATGAGGCATTGGGCATTGTTGGCAGCGTCAGGGGTCCCTGGGACGGGGTTAGCTTGGTTTCGGAAAGAGTTCGAAGAAAGTTGTGCTCGAGGATCTGAAGCTTGGCCTTGATGGCGAGGTCGTTGGCAACCGTTGCTGACCTGTTCCTGAAGTAAACTTGTTTGCCATTGTAGTTGGTGCCTTCATACTTCTTGGATACTCGCTTGGGAGAACACATGAGCTTCTTGGAAAGATACTTCCTCAGACTTGTTCCTGAGTTCAAGGGAGAAACACAAAATGGATGAGATGAGGAGCAGATTAACCAATCTGCTTTGTTCGTGCAGCCTTTTAAAAGACCCCGCGTTTGTTTGCGTACCTTCCTCAATGTCGTCTCTGGGTAGCTCTCCGGCTTTGAATGCATCAATTAGGGCAGAAGCATAGAGCTCCTCCTCTTGGCTCCATTTTCCTCCGTGCATATGGGGGTTCATCATGGTGGTGAAGATTTCCTTTGCTGGGTGAAGAGAATCGAATCTATCTTGATGGCTCTGGTTGCTGCTGTTCGTATTAGATTGCAGATACAGTAAATTATTTTTGTGGAAGTGAGAGTGCGAAAGCGGAAGAGCCCAAGGCTTTTTCTTGGGTCTGCCCTCGCCGCTTGCTCCATTCTTAAATTCGCACCATGTCTGCGCCATTCGCGTCAAACCAAGTTCTTCCACACCAGCTGAACGGCACAAAGTTGAAATAAAGGGTTTGCAGCTGTACTGTAAAGGACTGGTTGCAACTGGTACATACATGTACTAGTACTCCGTATTGTGATACTGCCATCGTCCCGTATCTCTGACTATTATTAATACAGTAGTACTCGAGTACGGAGTAATAGTGGTCGATGGCATCTGTGACAAACAGTCGCACGAGTTAATTTCTCCTGTGGTCTACTCCCTAATTCCATTTTTCTACGCTGGTTGATCAATAATCAGTACATCAATACAGCTGTCAATACGTTCAACAGAGAACCTCGCTGCAACATGGACTTTACAGCCACTATACTTTATTTGTACAGTTTCACCGGAATACAGGTCGTGGATCCATTTCAGATGTAAAAGTGATGTTAACATGGTACGAAGGAGCAGCTTAGAAACTTGTTTTTCCACTGAGAACTTCTGGGAGTCCTCTTTATCTCGAGTAGTTCATAAAAGTTTTAATGCCCCAATTTCGGGTTCTTTTAATTAAACTCACCATGCTTCGAATTGGTTGTCCGTAAGCCACACCCGAGTTGCCCAAATAAATGTCTTGACCATTAAAACGCTCACAGCAACACGAACAGTCCATGAACACGGAATCCCTTCAGCTTCTTCAACAAACACACCAACACACGAAAACCACCGTCAACCAAACCAGCGGCTACGTTGGCCGCGCACCAATACCGCAAATACAGGTTTTGCTTGACTAGTCTACTCCAGTATCCTGGAGCTTCCGTGCACTACAATGTACTTCACTTCACTTCAAATTGCCGACTTCCTTGTCGGAATGAATCGAATCGGTACCGGTATCGGTACCTACCGCTGTGGTTGCCCCTTGCAACCGCGCTACTAGCTAGACACAACAATGCCAATAATTCAAAGACAACTGAGTGCCTCCAGGGTGATATTACATGTAGTTAGTACCACCCTACCGGTACACACGCTGGGCATGTAATCGGCCTCCGGTTCCTGCCATGCCAGGGCAACGGCAACACAAGCGTGGTACAGTATTTTGTAGACTAAACATGTACAATGCCTGAGTAGTGCTCCTTTTTACCATTCTGCTAGAATTCTTTCATGAGTCAGTTGTACTGGCGGCAGCAGCTTCAACTTTCCTGCGTGTGGCGTATGGCCATTTAATACTCTTATTACGACTCTTGCTTGCACTTCGAAAGCCATCCAGTTTTTGTGCCACAGTACTTACTCGGAGTAGGGGGATGGGCAAATCTTGCAATAGCCCTGTATTGTAATGGAGTGTGACTCGCCAAAATCAGTTAAAAAGACGAAATTTGTATTTTTGCAGGAAGATAAATTTAATTGCATTGGATTGGATTGCATTGAATTGGATTGAATTGGATTCCAAATAGTACTGTTATTTATATAGTAGACTGTAATTCAATGCAATCCAATCTAATCCAATGCAATCCAATCAAATCCAATAGAGAAAAACAGCCAAAGTGAAAGATTGGCTTGGCCCACACAATTTTTTGCTCATCCCCTAGCTAGAGCTGCCACAGTTCATTTATACCAGTGAAATGAAATACGACTATGACTATTACAGCAGGCGCTCAGAGAAGGGTAGAATTGGCGTTTATCCATTATTTATCCAAGATGACTCCGATGAACCCTTTATTGACCGAAAGGAAAGAATGTCAATCGTACAAGCGAGTACGATGCTAATTCATAAACCGCAACAGTGGTCTTCGCATCTTCGCATACTCCGGAGTATTCTAATCTGTCTTAGTTTCATGTCCAAAAAGGAGCACACAAAGAGATAGTGGCTGCGACTGGGTCTTTTCAAGCGGCAGACGTGTATGATTTGCTGTAGGATATGTATGTAGCTTTTGCCTCTGGCCTCTGGCTGTTCCCTCATACCAGTGTGGGCGAACTTTGCAGTCCCAGCGCCACGTCCCAGTGAACCCGGCAGCGCCAAGCAAAGAAACGGAGCAACACAAGTTCCTAAATCCAGTGCATCTAAAGATCTAAAGTCCCCTGATGAGAGAATCGATTCGTGCCTGCTTCTCTTCAGGCTTCAGGCTGGCTAGCTAGTAGGGTGGCGATGATACGTGTACCACTCTTAGCTCGTACTCAGTCTCTCTAGCTAGCTATAGATAATAGAGGTTGCTCCCTCCCTGGCCAGCATTAGGTCTCCAAAACTCGGTGGAAGTTTGGTTGCATGTTTAGCTATCATACTCCAGTAGTAGCCAGATCTAAGGTATGTAAAAGGAAGGAGGTTTTTAGGTTACGCAGTTTTGTGTAAATTAGTTTTGTAAAGCAAACCATTCCAAGAGGTACTAGTGCAGCAGAGGAAGGCAGGATGGAGTTCGCGGTGGTCTCAGCAACCCGAGGTCATCAAAGATAAGACCAACGACGACGGAAACCTAAGGGTCGTGCCTGGGTCGCTTCACCTCCCTAGTAGTAGTAGTAGCAGTAGGAGCGGTCGTGCTCTCGTCACCAAGGCTTCGTTTGAGTCGACCAGCGTTGACTAGAATCGTATCCATCAAGAACGTGTCTGGTGTGGTTGCAGCACCAAATCCTCCAATTTGTAGAGACCCCAGCGATGCGTTGCGAAGGGCTGCCAAGGTTTGTAACCTAGTAGCATCCAGCAAGCCACCACTGGCACTCGCATAGCTTGAAAATGCAGCAGCAGGGGGTCGGACGGCGGGAAGGGTCGTGAGATTATTTGGGAACGATGATCCCAGCAGAAAGGCGTTGTCCAAGCGGAACCTCTGCATGGCAGCCAATTCCAGGCTGCTGGTGCCTCCAAGAAAGGTTGACCGAACCTGAGGAAAGAGTAGCGAAGCAGAAGATACAGGAGGCAACGTTGAAGCCGTCAAGCCTCTCACGCCAGCGAAGCCGCTGCCACCAGAGTAGGAATCCAGGAGTGGGTCAGCCTGAGCCATCTTGTTTGCAATGGAACCCGTCTTTTGCATCGTAGCTAAGGCATCTCGAAACTTGCGTTCCAGTACTTCCAGCCTGGCCTTCGTCGCAATGGCAGTTGGTGAGGTTGGTGATACCCCAGTCTTCTTGATGTAAACTTGCTTGCCATTGTAGTTGGTTCCTTCATACTTCTTTGACACTCGCTTGGGAGAGCACAAGAGCTTCTCGGCAAGAAACTTCCTTAGACTTGTTCCTGATCAACAAGGTGGAAGCAAATCAGCATGCGCCTTTGAGCCAAAATAGTAGATGAATGTTCAGAACATGCCATGTCGAAGGGCTCTTACCTTCTTCAATGTCCCCAACAGGAATCTCTCCCGCTTTGAAGGCTAGGATCAGCGCCTCCGCATAGGCTTCCTCCTCCTGACTCCATTTCCCGCCATTCAAGTGATTGGTAAGCAAACCGCTCATTGTCTCCGTGTTGACTATTGGACTGAATCAATCGAATCTGTAGGGTGGGTAAGAACGATGTTGCCACTGTGCTCTTTTGAGTTTTTCACCGTTTTGGGGTCCCTGTGCATGAAATTGTGGTTAATGAGATCGCATTCGAGGCTTGTGGCGAGTGGTGAGAAGATGATTGCTCTCTTTCTTTATTTTGACCTGGACAGTTCACGCGACCTCAGGTGCTGTACGATCATCCCGAAGACTCAGTACAAAACCTACGTCCTCACACCGGTATTGCCCCTCAAGTGAAGAAGGCCTACAGCCAGCACCCAGTGTCAAGACTTACCGTTGTGGCTCCGGGTTGGAGTCTTCAGTACCATTAATAGCAGCATTCAGGTAGTCGCGGATGAATTAAAGTCTTCACGCTGGTGCTAAGTGTTGGTCTTGGAAGAACATTATGGTCCGAGAGTCTTTTTCGAAGTGCCCTCATTCCTAACGGAGGCAAGGCTGATCGTCCTAGCTAGGAAAGTAGCCGAACGCGAAATAACGCTGGGACAGGACAATGCCAGAGCAATCCGAACAAGTTGGGAAGGGGAGATGCAGGGGCGACAATGACATTTTCCAGTTGCATGTGGGAGGAGTACGGGTGTACGGGTGAATCTACTTGAGTCGAGACCTTATGTCCAACTTTAGGCTGCCCCTGCAGCCCCTGCCTAGTATCAGGAAAAGGAAACTGCAAGGAAGGCGACTGGTTATCGATCAATCAGGAAGTACTATTATACATACATTGTACATTGTTGGTACTTTCCTTCATCCACGGATTTAAAGGGTACCTGTGTCCAACTAACAAACCAGTACATGTACAATACTAGTACGCAAACTTACGCTTGTAACCTTTTCAGGCGTGGCAGGTTCCGTAAAAAGGCGCTTAAATCCGTACTTGTCTCTTTTAAAATGCGGGTGTAAAATATATGATCACCTCTTAATTACAGATCCCCCCGTAAATCCTCTCTTTCCAATTTTCTAAATCTCCACATTCCGCTCTAAGTAAAGAAAACCAGCTAGAAAACCATAACTGGGCTTTTACAAACACAAAGCTCGTCGACAACTGCGACATTTGACACGTGACCTTTCAACTTTCAAGTCACTTATAAAAAGCAGTCGAAGTTCACAGTAGTCAACAGCCTTACCGCCCTGTCTAGCTAACCATAGTAGTACCGGAAGTCGCTGGCGGCAGTTCGGCTCTTGGAGGTCGATTGATTTTTGATACTGATCATGCAGCAGCAAACAAAGTCGTCACTCTTGATGGAGAGCCGGTACTGGCTAATACCAGTTGGTCAGCCAGCTTCAACAGGGTCGAACACTCTGTTTCGCCTTCAAAGCGAACAGTCATATTTTCATCTGTTTTTTCTCTTGAGTACTAGTGGTCGCGCAAAATGTTTCAACTCCACGATTCTACTAGCTAGTAGGGTAGACTGCAGCCAGCCAATCTGTTTTTAGGTTGCTTGCCAGGTTCGACCTGCTCCTGCGTACGGTACTAGTACAGGTCTGGGGGGCACCAATGTCCACGAACAAGTTTCCCAGATTCCTGGAGTACTGTACGTAATTTGGATTTATAACATTGATTAAAGATGTAGTTCTGGGGTTTTTAAAAAACAATGATTTTATGCTTTATGGTCATTCCCATGTAAAAACTCAGGCTACGGTACAGTAGGATCAAAACCTTCCGGTTGCTCAAAATAGTGAACTGGCTTCCCAGCTTAGTTTCCTAATGAACCCACTGGCTTAACACGTAAATATCTATTGAGTATTAGTTTAGTCCTATTCTGTGGGATTGCTTTAGGATGTGTAGAGGAGTACCGGCAGCCTACTGCTGGGCTAAATTGAAATTTAGGATGTCCGACCCTTTTAGGATTGGACTAATATGGGGTTTTCGCAAGGTGGCATCGCCAATTCAGTACTGCACCCCTACTGGAGTAGCGGTGCGCAAATGACCCTTTCAAATGTTCCAGCGAGCGAGGAGGATGGACCAGCCTGCTTTCAAATTAGGCCAGCACGTCGCTGTGGGCATGCGCTATGCAGTATTGGCAATCACGAGTGACGTACGAGAGGTTCGCCAGGGTTCGCATTGCAACATCACGTTTGACACCGAGTCATGCCTCGGAGTAGCAAACGGAAGTCCTTAATACAGGATATCGCGTATGCATGCCACCGAGTGCCTCAGGCTGGTGCACTGCATTGGTGCGAGAGAGTACTCTATGTCTACAGTAAACTAAGTAGCTAGCCTCAACAAGAGAGTGTCGAACCACACCTCACAATTTACGCTCTATTCAGTACGAAACGGCCAATACAATGGTTAAAAAAGACTACACTGAACACCAGAGTGTCTGGGTGAAAGGAGGGATTCACCGTAACCAGGTGGCCAGCTTTGTTGAATCGAAGGGTCCTTCGTTCGCCGGGATTGAGCTGCTGGATGGAAGGCGAGTGAAGGTAAAGTGGTCGTCCATCATGGAAATTTTCTGTGGGCCTTGCGAGAGGAACACCATTCGCGACATCGAACGTCCAGGGGAGTGGGTAAGTGCTCTCCACTATGAACAGCGCGATGGTCGCACCGTCAACATTGCTGATGCCGAGGACGAAATTCGTCGCCAAGGTGCATGGCGTCCACAGAACGCCAACCAATACTACTTGGCCTATTATAGAGAGTTGAGGACAAGTGACGATCTACGTGGAGACAACCAAAGGCTTCGTGGAGAAAATCGAATGCTCCACCAGCGCCTTCTCCAAATGGAAGACCGCGTCCAGCAGATCGAAGAGTTGCTTCACAACAGTAACATCCCCAGTGGATTTTAGATTAATAATTTTAATAGTCTTATTGTTGTTCCTACTGTTGTTGTTCCTACTGAGCGGCCTCTAGCGCCATCTTTGATTTGCCTCGAGGCTTGCCTGATTTGATGTATTTCAGGCGTTGTAGTGCCTTCACCAAGTTTCCGACGGAGTACTTCGATTCCATAAACAGGGGCTCCCACTCTTCGACCACAGTCAAGGGCTGTTTCTTTTCTTTTTTGGCGTGTTCGTTGATGCCCTTGATAAGCCTGTTAGTGTACGAATAAAGATCACGGGGCAGATGTTTTCGCCACTTTGTTCCATGCTCTTTGTTCCTGCCATCAATGCCACCGTACACATCGTTCTTATAGTCGCCAAGGCCAAACCATTCACTCCACACATTCAGTAGGCTAGTGTGTCGACTGGCCATTCGAAAGCAGATGTGTTCTTCGGGAGTGGACTTAGGGCGGGGTGTCGGACCACCATCAACCACCATTGGTGATGGCAAGTCTGTTAATTCTGGTGGTGATGTTGGTGCTTCAACATCCATCGGTGATCCTGGTGAACGCGGTTGACCTTCTTCCAACAGCTCGTCGATGTCATCTTCAGTTATGAAGTCTTCACTGCCTGATGCACCGTCAGGACTACCTGGTGTGCCTGGAACGTTCCTGACCATTCTTTCACCAGCTTCCATTAAGGTCATGCCGACTGCTGCTTGGATCTCTGCTTGTTGCCGGGGTTGGTCCACCTTAAGACTTGCCATACCGGTTGTTATGGCTTCGTGCAGGTGATCAACCTTTCTCTCTAAGCTGTGTACCACATCGTAATTCGCGGCTAGCCTCTGATTGACACCAGGAAGAACCTTCTCTAAGTCCGCGTCTAAGGGACTTGTTTCTTTGCTGAGAGATAAACGCATTGTTTCTACATAATCCTGAAACAGCATTCAAAAGTGAGTAGGGATGAAATAAGCGACAACACAACAAGGTGGAAAGTGGACTCACTTTAAACAAAGGAGTATGGAAGACTGGTAACTCCTCGAAGAAAGGATGCCCATTACGTTCTTCATGGAGCACGAGCATAGTGGCTGCATCCTGTAAAAATACAACACAAAGCTCACAGAACCAACGTAGTGTCTCGAATGCTGTAGGGCTTGTGCAGTCGGGGTCTTCCTCCACCAACTCTTCCAACCTTCGGAAAGCCCACCCCATCGGCGTTTGCTCACACAGCTCTTGCGACGGTTTGACTATAGTTCGTGGATTGTAGTACATGCCGTTCGAGCTGTTGAATCCGGCAAGGTTGCGCATAGCATTCATTGGTAGCTTGGAAGAGTAGCTAGTATCGTAGACTCTCATATCCCACTGACCCATTTGCCTGACCTCATCGGCACTCACCTCCATAAGATTCAAAAGCTTGCATCCAAGCCCACGACCTAGATGGAGTTGCTTGTTGTAGGGGAGGCGCATGTCTTTGAGGGTTTTCTTGACATGTTCCGCGTAGCCATCATTGCTCATCTCCTTAGTCTTGTCCGAACTGTTTACATCCACCAGGAACTTCACATCGAACCAGGTCGTGTTATCCATCCATTGGGCAATTGTCATGTTTTGGAATTCACCTGTAAAATAGAAGCGCATCATCAAATAGAAGGTGATGGCCCCGATTGAACAGAGTCGAACGTCCTTATGCCGGGTGGCTCTGCCATATTGCATTTTCCCATGCGTCGTTTTGCCAATCGCAATCTGCATGATCATTAGATACATGTGGTGTACGTCCACATCTTTCTTTGGGGGCTTTAGACTGAAAAAATCAGATAGCTCAGCCTTATACAATGATTCCCCCCTTAGAATGCCACTTGTCAAGTAGAGCAAACATGCCCTGTGCCTCAGATACGTCGCCATGGACCGGTGGGCTGTGCAGTGGCTGTCATTCCAAAACCGTTGCTCGAGATCAGGGTATTTGTCGGCAATCTGGTATGGAGCGAACGAGCCGTCCATCTTCTCTGCATATTGGGCCTTCTTCAAAGCTGGAGCTCTTTCCTTTACATGGAGTGTGAGCTGTTTCAGGTCCTGCGTCCAAATGAACTCCCACGCCACACCACAAACTTTGCGGCCAACTTGATCAGTGTGCATGTTGCGCATGACTGTCTTGTATTGGTTGAATGTTTGAGCGCTGATTGGATCCTGAGGTGTTGGATAATGCAACTCTGTGTTGGCTGTGTTGAAGAAGATGCCACAAACCTTCTGGTAGTCGGCTTGGTCAAACTTCTTGCCTTGAAGTCTTTTGGCTTTGTTGCCGCCTCTTGGCTTTTTCTCTCTGAATGCTTGGTAAAACATAAATTTGAAAACCTTTTCCCATGTGATATTCATCTTGTAGGGATCTGTGGAGTAGTTCAACCTACAGAAGTCTTCGAACTCTGCTATCTTGGGTCCATAGGCATCTTTGGTGGAGTCAGGGACTGTTCGCTGTCTAGAGTCTTTCACAAAAGTTGACATGCCAGTCACTGCAAAGGATTCATTCACTGCCCTTAGCACATCACGACCTGCAGTGGCGGCGGCTGCAGCCGCTGGTGGATTAGCGGCAGCTTCAACTGCGGCGGCAGCTGCTGTAGCAGGAGGCGGAGCGGCAGCTCGGCGATTGCCTGCCATGGTGCCCTTCTACTTTGTGTTTGTGTCTACTTGTTTGTTGTATTTCCAAACGGAGCATTGGATTGACTAGCTAGCTAGTAGCTCTACGTTCGAAAGCAATCTAGGCACATCGGCTGGCTTTCAGCTCAGTCCGAAAACAACATCCCAGCCTGTGCTACAGCATGCCAAGCTAAAATGGCGCGCTCTATAAGTCTCTAAGATTAACCTTAAATCTGACGCACGAAATATCGTTGGTATATTTCGCGCGGTCTGCGCGAATGATCAGCAGAAACTGGGGGTGCGTTTTTAGGACTCAGCTAAATCTGAGGCCTGTACGTTTAGGATCGACCAAAAGAACTATTTGTTTCTTCATATCTATTTAGTACAGTGTATTTGTTTTTCACTTTGATAGAATCATTCGATCGAATTGTTATAACAAGTCCCAACATCTCTATCGTCATAGTGTGTGTCGTCTTGACCGTTCCCCCTACCTCCTTCCTTGTGATCCTTTCCTTCCCCGCTCATCAGTTCGTCTGCTCCATCTTGGTTCTCTGGCTGGCTCCCCTGCCCCCATGTCTCCAAGTAATTAGCGCCGTCAAAAATATACTACGCGATAATTATAATCGAAGCATCAGTTGTTGACAAGAGCACAAAAAGCGACACAAGGGAGACTTCTGGCAGTTTGGGAGGACCATGAGCAACCAAAAAAAGGCAACAAAAATCGATTTGGACTCTGAGGAATTTTATGTCCTTCAGGCTGTGCAAGCGCGCTCCTCAGATGCTAGAAAACGAGAGGCGGAGCTCCAAAAGCTGGAGCAATATGAGCAGGACAACCAGAGGGTCCAACAACAAGCAGCAGCTACTGCTGAACAAGAGAAAGCGCAGCAGGAAGCTAGGGCAGGCCGGCAAGCAGATTCTACCAGCAGCCGTGTCCAGAATGGGAAAAGCAGAAGTACCACCAAGAACAGCAGCACAAGTACCGGTACTGGGCACACCAGTGAAGAATATCTGAATATTGATGAAATTGCCAAACTAGCCGAAGCCCGGCAGAGCCTCCAGCCTCCCTCATCCGCTGGCACAAATTTAAACGGCATCAGCAAAACCCCTGGCAGTAGCACCGCAACAGCTACCAGTGCGCCATTCAACATCGAAAATAATGGAAAGCAGCAGATTCCGCTTCCTGGCGGGGCACAACCAGGAGCATACTCAGGAGCTCCTGGTATGGGCCCCCAAAGAACCACCAGACCTCGCTTTTCATTGCTTGGGGTCGCTTCCGCCACAGTCGAACGAATGGCCGACCTAAGTGACCGTGATGGAAGCCTGGCGTCTGAGGACAGGGAAGAACCTGAGACGTCCGAATCTGCCCGTGCCCATAGTGAAAATCGATCCTTCATTGAAGGACAAGTCGCTCGTTTGACTTCGAGAACAAACAGTCAGACTGTCGAGCACGCGAACCATGGTGATAAGTTTGACGTGCCCGAAATAAATAATGCTGCCAACAGTGACAATAATGGCTTGGCTGTGGCAGCGCTGGTGGAAGAGGATGAGACGCCCCAAGATTTGCCACTAGCTGCACCGTTTGATGTGGATGAATCACAAAAGAGAAAGGAACAAGCCAAGAAACGATTCCAAACCAAGATTTACATCATCGTTGGCTTGCTTGTGGTGATTGGATTGGTTGTGGTGGGAGTCTGTGGCAGTGGCAACTGCAGCAGTAAGGGCTCCTCTTCAGAAGAACAGGAACTCAGTCCCAGAGAAATGGAAGGCATGGAAATCAAAGCCCAGCTGGAAAAGGTGTTAGGAAGCACTTATTTTGATGGTTCCACAGTCAGCACGGAACCCCATCAAAAAGCACTCAACTGGATCATCCATCAAGATCCCCGCCAACTGCCTCCGGATTCCATCCATCTACTCCAACGATTTATTTTGACACAGTTTTACTACAGTACGTCACAAGCCAGCCCTTGGAAATTCTGTGGCGCTGCCACTGGTGCACAAACAGCTGAATGCTACTTTCAATTTCTGGATCAAGAATTCATTAACGAACGATGGTTGTCCGGGGTTTCCGAATGCCGGTGGGCTGGATGCACTTGTGAAGGCGAAACAGAAAACATTACTTCAATTGATATATGTAAGTATTTATGACGGAACAACACAACCTGTCCACCAAGCTTCTTTCCAATCTTTGGCTGCATTTTTTCTGCCAATTCCAACAGGGCACAATGACTTCACAGGGTCACTTCCAAGTGAGCTTGGATTATTGTCACATGCAACCGCTTTGTCTCTTCGATCACAAAACTTTACTGGCACTATACCCACAGAAATATACCAATTGACAGCTCTTTCCAATTTGGGGCTTTCCGGGAACAATTTTACAGGAACCGTCAATCCTGCTGTCTTCTCCATGCCATTATTGAGTACCCTCCATTTTAGGTTTAACCACATGACAGGCACCATCCCAACTGAAATTGGGCTCTTTCCAGGTATGCGCACATTGTGTTATCTAGACAAATGCATCTGCACCCAGGTTCATTGTTGATCATTGGAACCTATTGCCCTTTTCACTTCATAGGAAAGCTGCTCTTCTTTGCCAAAAATTCTTTTACAGGAACGATTCCTTCAGCATTATTTTCCACCAAAAATACCACGGATATGCATTTTGAACATAATGAGGTGGGTTGACCTGTACTGTTGTTTCCAACGTCCAATAACTTTACATCCTCTCATGATATTGGTTGGCTAGCTCTCTGGAACAATTCCCACAGAAGTTGGGATATTATCCCAGCAAGTCAGAGAAGACAATGGTGGTCCTGGATTGAATTTCGCCGGCAATAATGCATTGTCTGGTACAATTCCATCAGAGTTTGGGCTGGTGAACCATCTAAAAAATTTATATTTCACAGACACGAGCATTGAAGGCACCATTCCTGAAGAGCTAATCTTGAATTGCCTCAATTTGAATTTCCTCATTGGTGAAAATTGCAACTTGGGGGGTACATTGAGCACCAACTTTGGATTGCTCACAAACCTCAAATACTTACGGTTGGCCAACAACAACTTTTCAGGTAGCATACCCGTGGAGTTTGAAGCCCTGACAGGATTGAAAGAGTTTACAATCAATGGAAATCCTGAACTCAGAGGGATTATTCCTGATGACATGTGCTTTGAGAATGTTTGGAATGCTCAAGGACTTGAGTTTGTAGCCGACTGTGCGCAGACCGCAATCACGGGAAGTGATGGTACTACCAGCATGGGAGAACCATTTGTGTCTTGTCCTGAAGGATGTTGCAGTACATGCTGTGATGGGGGCACTGGAATCTGCATGGAGCAGTAGCTGCGAACGTGGGATGTTTCTCGGTCGGCTCGACTCGACTCGGTGTGTGGTGATTTATTTGATGCCTTAGAAGGGCGCACGGTGCTCGCCTTTTGAAAGCGGCAGACCAGCTGTTCAACTTTACGGATGTCACTTGCGTTCCCCGGGCCAGCTACCAGTAGCTAGTATGTGAAATTATGGTTCTATATACTATAGGTACTGATATAATATTTGGATCGGCTCGGTCGATTCGTTCATTCATTCGTTCGTTCCCGTGAAAAACATGGACAACGTTCTGTGTTACTGTTGAACCTGAGCCCTATCTCTTACTGGATACCAGTCTACTACAGGAGGGAGACACCATGGGGTAGCTTTTAGGTAGCTGTAACCACTTTCTAGATTAACTTTGATTACCTGAAAGATGGGAATCCTGTAGGCAGACCTATCAGCACAACAGTTAATCTAGAAAGCTTTATCTAAGAGCTAAGAACGACGGATCCGTCCGGATCCCAACCATGAGCGAAGAGGGTGCCTCGGGCACTCCGCCACCGGCGCCACCACCACCATCCTCCGGGGACTCTAGTGGTGGGCCCGGTAGACACCACGGAGGCCGTCAAGGTGGCGGCCGAGGTCGAGGAGGAGGACGACGACGTGGTGGACGAGGGCCCAGCCCAGCCACCACTACCACTCCAAGAGGCCCCAAGTTTGAAGGCAGATGTGATGACCTCAAGGGACATGTCTACGACCTGACCAATCCAAAGGATGCAGCCAACAACTACATGATAACCACCGATGAAGTAATCCAACTCATTGGGAGAACCTACAAGCATGGAAATCATACCAAGAGATGCCTAGAGGAAGGGCGAAGGATCGCATTGACTGTCCCAGAAGACCCAGCAGACGCAGCCACCGTGACAGAGAAAGAGATCTGGAAACAGGAGGTGAGCGCTTACGTCAAAAAGAAAAATGAAGTCGAGACAAACATGGAGAATGCATATTCACTGATCTTTGGACAATGCAGTGAGGGTGTTCGAGCCAAGCTAGAGAGCATGATCAACCACAAGGAGATCAAAGAAGCTGGTGACCCCGTACGTTTGCTTAACAACATACAAACGGTGATGCTACAGTTCCAGACCACCAAGTACAAGCCACTTGCAATCTACGAATGCAAACGACGACTCATGTTATTCCGACAAACAAAAGAAATGACGGTCGACCAATACCACAAGGAATTCAAGAACTACACAGACGTCGTGGAAAGGAATGGAGGATCGATCGGAGCAGATATTGGCCTCGTCGAGGAAGTGCTGAACAGTCACCGACCACCTCTCACCCTAGAAACTGCGACCGACGAACAATTGCAACAAGCTAAAGGAATAGCCAGGGAAAGAACCATCGCGCTGGATTTCATCGTCGGTGCTGACCGGAGCAGGTTCGGAAAACTCACGGAAGACCTCGAGAACAGTTTCACCCAAGGTCGAAACAATTACCCAGCCACGATGACTGACGCACTGAAAATCCTGACCAACTGGAAGCAGGACCCAAGGAACACGCCGCAGCCGCCACGACAAAGGGACGACACAAACAGTGGCCAAGGAGCAACGGAATTGTCGTTCACGAACATTGGAAGCGAGATCGAACAACAGCAAGGAACACCCGCGAATAGTCAGCGAAATTCCTGGCTGGCCAACATCGAATGCTACAATTGCCACGGACGTGGCCACTTTGCACGTGATTGCCCAACGGCCAACACTCCTGCAACCGATACGACAGCCCCAAGCCAAGCGGAAGGCGCCGTACAAATGCTCCTCGATGGGGCGGAAAATGACACGTCCTACGTTGGCTTTACACTAACAACAACCAGCGAGAAAGGGAAGTTGCCGCGGAACTGGATCCTACTCGACAACCAAAGCACGGTACACCTATTCTTCAACAAAGACCTACTGGTGGATATCAAGGTGACCGACCGATGGATGACAGTCAACTGCAATGCAGGAGTGACGAAAACCAACATGATCGGAAGACTCCCTGGATGCTCCGACGAAATCTGGTACCACCCAGACGCGATTGCCAACATCCTCTCCTTCTCGATGGTCGAAAAGAGCTTCCCAATCTCATACGACGCGAAAAACAAATGCTTCATCATGCACAAGCCAAACAACAATCACCGACGCTTTGTTCAATCCGACCGGGGACTGTTCTATCTGGATGTGAGTAAGGAAGCAGACCCTCAACACGACTTGATCGATGGCGAGGCAGCCTTTATTAGCACAGTAGAAAATAACAAGTCTAACTACACCGTTAAGGGATACAAGGCTGCTGAACTAGCTCGTAAGGTACAGCAAATGGTGGGCAACCCATCGCTAAAAGGATTCCTTCGGATCCTAGACAACAACCAACTGCCAAACTCTCCAGTAACGAGAGCTGACGCGATCGCCGCAGAAAAGATATTCGGGCCGAACGTAGCTGGGCTGAAAGGGAAGACCGTTCGAAAACAGGGACCACCTATTGACAGCGCCCAGCACACACCAGTACCACCCCAGATCATACAGCTCTACCATGTCGTTACGGCAGGCATCGATATCATGTTCGTTAACAAGCTTGCGTTCCTAGTGACTATCTCGAGGAACCTGAAATTTGGAACCGTGGAATTCCTGCCTAACCGACAGCACCCAACCGTCCTTGGCGCGATCAAACGAGTCAAGTCTACGTATCTACGTCGTGGATTTGAGCTGCGACACTGCAATGCTGACATGGAATTCGAGCCACTGCGAAGCGCGCTCACAGAACAAAAGATGGACCTAAATGTGGTAGCAGAAGACGAGCATGTGCCCGAAGTTGAACGCTACATCAGGACAATCAAGGAGCGAACCCGATGCACCTGGCATACGCTCCCATTTAAGCGTATTCCGAACAGAATGATCATAGAAATAGTGTGCAGCAGCGTCATGTGGTTAAATATGTTCCCGGCAGCTGATGGAGTGTCAGACACTCTCAGCCCACGGACACTGATCTCTGGTCACGTGCTAAACTACAACAAGCACTGCAAAACACTATTTGGAGCCTACGTGCAAACACACGAGGAGCACGACAACAGCATGGAGTCACGAACTACTGGGGCGATAGCCCTCAGACCAACAGGCAACTCACAAGGATCATACTATTTCCTGAGCCTCACGACCGGACGAAGACTCACCAGGCAACGATGGACAGAGCTACCGATGCCACAAGACGTGATTGACCGGGTACATGAGCTGGCAGAACGTAACCAAGCAGGAGTGGGCCTGGCCTTTGGATGGCGCGACGGTACCCCAATTGACGATGACGATGACAATTATGACACGGACGCTGACTTCGACTATGATGACGACCAAGAGTATGACCCATACAGCGATGACACATTGGACTGGGACACGGCCACCGAAGACGAAGAGCTTGACGATAACGGGCACCAAGGCACAGGAGTGCCGGCCCCAGGAGTGCCCGCTCCAGCAGTGCTGGCACCAGTCAATGAAGAAGAAGGAGAGTCTGAGCATGACAATGATGCGGACGATGAACAAAGCGAGTCCGGAAGTGAGGTAGATACCCCAATAATCAGTGACTCCAGCACCGAAAGCGACGGTGACGAAGATAACGGCGAACCTGAGATCGAACAATCACGATCAGATGACGACCATGGCACGGTGGAGCCTGAACAGCCAGGCGGCAGTCCAATGCTGGAGCCGAATCCGACTGACGAGATGGATCAGCAGTACGGAGAAAGAAAGCGCTCAGGCTTGCGTCCGCGAAAGCCGACGGCCAGGTTCGGCGCCAACAACCAACCAGATGAGTACACCATGGCATGTACGCAGGATCAACCCGCGAAGAGCCCAGGAGTGCCACCACCCGTGACAATGGAGCCACCACGTGACTATGCACTGCTCCACTGTGGACTCGAGCACTTGGAGCACACGGTGATGACACAATATGAGGTCCGAAAAGGACTCAAGATTTTCAAGGAGAAGGGTGCCGAGGCTGTGATATCCGAGATGCAGCAGCTACACGACCGAAAGGTCATAGAGCCAATGAAGGCCAGCATGCTAACACGAGAAGAAAAGAAAAATTCACTGGAGTACCTTATGTTCCTCAAGCAAAAGAGATGCGGGAAGATCAAGGGCCGTGGATGCGCCGACGGAAGGAAACAGCGGCTATACAAGACAAAGGAGGAAACCAGTTCTCCAACCGTGACCACAGAGTCACTCTTCCTGTCATGTGTTATCGACGCAAAGGAAGGCAGGGATGTGGCAACGTGCGACATCCCAGGAGCATTCATGCAGGCAGACATGGACGAGGTTGTGTATATGAGACTATCCGGCCCGCTGGCTCTCTTACTTGCCAAAGTCGACAAGGATCTGTATGAGCCATTCATCAATGAGGAAAAGGGCAAGCACGTCATGTATGTGAAGCTGACAAAGGCCCTGTACGGGACCCTTCAAGCGGCACTACTATTCTGGAAGAACCTCACCAACACGCTCATCAACGAGTGGGGGTTCGAGTTGAATCCATATGACGAGTGTGTGGCCAACAAGATGATCAATGGAAAGCAATGCACAATCTTATGGCATGTGGACGACCTCAAGATCTCCCACGTGGATGCCAAAGTGGTGACCGATCTCCTAGAACAACTAGAAGCCAAGTATGGAAAGGAAGCTCCACTGACGGTCACCAGGGGAAAGATACACGACTACCTTGGAATGGTGATCGACTACTCCCAACCCGGGAAAGTGATATTCAGGATGGACCACTACGTGAAGGACATCCTCGAGGAGGCAAGAACTGACACTGTCGGTGAGGCTACTAGTCCCGCGGCCGATCATTTGTTCATGGTGAATACGACAAATCCAGAGATGCTGGACCAGGCCGACAGCGACCACTTCCACAGGATGGTAGCTAAGCTGTTGTTCCTGGCTAAGAGAGCCAGACCCGATCTGCAACAGGCCGTGGCATTTTTATCCACGAGAGTAAAGGGTCCCGACAACGATGACTACAAGAAATACAAGCGTGTCATTCAATACCTGAGGGCCACACCAGAGCTTCCACTCACGTTGGAGGCGGACGATACGCACGTGATTAAGTGGTTCGTTGACGCGTCCTTTGCTGTACACCCGGACATGAAAAGTCAGACCGGTGCAACCATGACGATGGGGAAAGGATGTCCCTTTTCGAATTCCACAAAGCAGAAACTGAACACGAAGAGCTCAACCGAGGCAGAGCTAGTAGCAGCAAGCGACTCCATGCCAATGATTATCTGGACAAGATATTTCCTGCAGGCCCAAGGCTATGGGGTGAAGGAAAACCGCTTGTACCAGGACAACCAGAGTGCGATGCTGCTGGAGAAGAACGGACGATCCTCGAGTGGTCGTCGTACAAGGCACATCAACATCAGGTATTTCTTCATCACCGACAGAGTGAAGTCGGGCGAGGTAACGATCGCCTTTTGTCCAACTGATGAGATGCTCGCGGATGTGTTCACGAAGCCATTGCAAGGAAGCAAGTTCCTCGAGTTTCGTCGACTTGTGCTGAACTTGTCGAGCGATCACGACAGGAGCTGATGATGCCACAACAATGACACCAGCAACACGATCAGCAATGTAGTGATCGCAGGAGTGTGTTGAACCTGAGCCCTATCTCTTACTGGATACCAGTCTACTACAGGAGGGAGACACCATGGGGTAGCTTTTAGGTAGCTGTAACCACTTTCTAGATTAACTTTGATTACCTGAAAGATGGGAATCCTGTAGGCAGACCTATCAGCACAACAGTTACATGCAAAATTACGTAGTGTACATTTATCATACGAACGAACCCTTTTAAAAATTTACCAACCTCCGATCCTCTTGGCCGGGCTGTTTCCCTTCCATGATTTCCTGGTTCGACTAACTAACTGATTGGTGGCACGATTCTCTCGTCGTTGTGGCTGCTACTTTCGGGTGCTGTTTCTGGTCCTTCTTGTACTAGTACAATGGAGGAATCAACTTCATTTTCACTTGGATCCTCACACCTTCTGGCTTCGCCACCATCAATCCATTGCGTGGTGGCTCGCCGGTTGTATGATCTTGTTGTCGTCGTCTTTTCATTTTGATTATTCCATGGCAGCAAACTAGTAGCACCCTGCTGCTGCAGAAACAGCACGGCCACCAACGCCGCAAAACACCCCGCCAATGCCAATGACAGTACGACCACGGCGGCATTGTTCGCACTACTCGATGATTCTGTTGTAGTTGTGGTTGCCATATTATTGATATTGGTCAAACTCCACTGCAAAAGTTGATTTTCCACAGATTCGTGATGTTGAAAGATTTCCCCAATGACATGTGGATTGTTCAACCCATCCAATTGCTGTGGGAATTGTGCAAAGCACCATCGTGCCAAGATGGGTTCCAATTTAATGTGGGTTTCGGCGACATCTTGAAAAACCGTGTGTTCGATGCGTTTCAAATGGTGTGGATATTGCCAGACACACCATTCGCCCAAATAGGGTTCAATGTCGACCAAAATAGCAGCATCTTGACTGGGCGTTGCGACTGTGGGAATACCGTCGTCGTCTTGTTGTGTTGTATCAAGTTGCTGCTGTTGCAAATTGGCGAGTGATCGTTGCGACCAGTGACGGAGGAATTGTTCAATGGGAATATGCGAGGATTGCAAATCGGAAAAGGATCGAGATCGATCGAGAATGGCGAGATATTGGGGGAATTGATCAAAACACCATTCTCCCAAGAAGGGTTCAATCTTGACATGATGCGTCAGTAACCGCGCCATGTCAAAACCCGAAAAATTGGCCAATTGCGGTCGAAATTGTTTGGCGCACCATTCGCCCAAATACGGTTCCACTGCCATCATGCCATTGTTTTTCTGGGAGGCAGAAGAAGAAGATTTGGCGAGGCAAACTGCAGGGGCTGCCACCAACAATAGTAGGCATAGATGACTTCTTCTCATGATAATGATACCCTCACTCATACGGTACCGTAGTCTTGATAGTCAACACTCTCAACACTCTCGACCTCTTCTGTGCTTCCGACGATGATGGGTCGATGCTTCTGCTCCTGCTCCTGATATCGTGCAACAACGGCGAGCTTGTGCCCGTTCTATTTTAAAATTCCTGAAATCTCTGAGAAAGCATGACGTGGCGGTTGAATAATCTTCATTGTCACAATTCTCTTGGAGGGAGAAACCACTAAATCTTTCCTTTTTCCCTCCATCATCAAGCTCTAAATCTCTGATGTCTGCTCACAATTTGACTTCTGTTCATAAAAGTGCAAAAGCTTTTTTATTAATTTAAAAAAAGGTTTAAGATTTTCACTGGACATCGAATGAAGGAAGACTTCTTGTATCCATTGACATTTCTTTTGTTTGACCAGTGTCCAAATCCAAAAGTGTCAATTGGGCGAACAGATATCATAGATCTATTCCAGCATTTTATTTTTATTGTTCGGCCATGGGCACTGGAATCGATTCTGTGATGACCGTTGCAAGCCAAGTCCAACAACAACAACAACAAGTCGACCATGACGAGGGTGTCGAGGTGACTACCGTGGTGCCAGTCCAAGAGAATGAGATTGTGTTTGTGGCAGCCCAAGAAGAGGATGAGAATGACTCTCCACAAGAAGAACCGAGTGTTCCGGTTTCTGCTGATGATGCATCTTCCCGAGGTTACTGCGGCTGTGGCTACGACAATGTGGCCATGGCCAAGGGGATATCATTGTTGGGAACGGCCCGTGGTCCCATTGTCATGTCCAATATCTTCTTGTCGACAGCACTCATCTATTTGGCGAGTGAACAAGTGGGGTGTCTGGAAACTACGCCCGAAGGAGAAACACAAGTCGTGGAAGACTGCGAGGAACGTGTTTATGGCGTCTTTTCTCCGGCCGCACTGATTACCAATATTGCCGTCATTTCCGGATTGCTGGCCGCCTGCCTCATGCCCATTGCCGGTGCCATTGTCGATTATACGGCCCATCGATGGACCACGGGTGTCGTATCCGCACTGCTCATTACGATTATTCAAATCATTCAAATTGCCACCAACAGTTCCAATTGGTTCCCCATGGCCATTCTTCAAGCCGTGGCGGGATGTTTTTATCAGATACAAGTATTGGCCACATGGGCCTATTTGCCCGATATTGCCCGACAAGTCAACAATGAAACCACAATGACGCGATTCACATCCAACTTTACCATGGTACAATTCACGGCACAAGCGGCCTTTTTGTTTTTGGTAGTGGCCATTTCCACAACACTCAATCTGACCGATGTCAATACCGGTCGTCTCAGTCAAGCCATGAATTCCCTCGGGATTGTTGTTTCCTTCAAATGGGGATGGACACTCCTTCCCATTGTTCCAGCACGGCAGTCGTTATTGCCCCAAAAAAATCTATTGTGGCAAGGATTTTTGCAAAATTGGAATACGGCCCAAAAAATCAATCGCGAGTATCGCAACAGTCTGCGATGGTTTTTATTGGGCATTCTCTTTGCCGAACCGGCGGCCAATGCATTCACGGTCGTGGCCGTCGTCTTTTTGAATGAACAACTCGGCATGGGGGGCAATGACATTGGCATTTTCTTTGGCGTCGTATTGGTCGCCATGGTTCCCGGAGGACTCATATTTCATGGATTGACCTTGCGGACCGATCCCAATACGGCACTCCGGGTCTCCATGCTATTAATGTTTCTATTGGTCGTTGTGGGAGCACTGGTATTGACACCCGACAATGTCTTTCCCATTGCGTACATTTGGGGATTGGCTGTGGGACTCATTTTGGGATGCTTTTATCCCTGTCAACAATTGTTTTATAGTTTTGTCGTGCCACGGGGACAAGAAGCCGAATTCACTGGATTTTATGTCTATTGTACCCAACTGCTCGTGTGGTTGCCACCCCTGGTCTTTTCGACGATGGTCGAAGCACACGTCGATCAACGAATTGGATTGATTGTGGTCGGCTCCTTCTTTTTGATCTCGATTGCCATTTTCTCCATGGCGCCGCCCTTTGACGAATTGCTACTGGAAGTACACAGCAATGATAAGAACCGATTGTCGTTTCGAGGACTTGACGACAATGATGCGTTTGTGGCGGACAACACCCGGGAACTGTCTGAAGCCATGGTATCCACAGACACCAAAGATGATGGAGTGGAACACAGTCCTGTCAAACAACGCACCGGGAATGCGATCCAGAACAATGAAGCGGGGAGTGTGCCATCCGAGGACAATGTCATGGCACCGTCCTCGAATGAAACAAGTGGGAGTCAGGACGATGAGAGCTCGGACGACCCTTCCATGGATGTCAAGTGTCAAGTCCTCCTCAGCGGAAGACTGCGAATACCAGCATCTGATAGGCCAAAGGCTCCCAAACGTGACCAAGAGACATCAGAATGATGATTCCAGCCACTTCCAATGATGTACGGTACACATGCATGCTATGCATACATGTAATGAATACATAATGATTATGTTGCTTGGGGTTTCATGAAGGCTTGCTACTGTATTATTCAGATGCCAGCCAATAGTCATTCTCCAGCTAGCTAGATAGAGATGGAGGGAAGGTATGTGCTGTGGCAACATCAGGCAATCTATTGATAGTCTAGACGGTCAAACTTCTTTACCAACCCCAACTCTCTTCAACAAAGAGCTCGTGATTTGTGGTGAATCATGACTCCGACCTCAGTGTACAAATCCTTAGATAGCTAACAGGCGTCGCACCCTCTCAGGAGGCCAGTGTGGCCGGTGAGCAGACTTGACTGTGGGAAATACCCGAGCCTTAGCTCGTGGGTAGTCCTCAAGCACATCTCGTCTGAATCCGTTATTAGACGTTCAATTTTTTTTAGACGGTCAGTGCATAAACTGTTGCATTCTTCGGCCTACGGTAGCTATTTCTCTGGTTGGAGGCACATCCATCCTACAGTACGGTATTTGTGCATCTGAGGTGTACCGTATGGGTCCTCTATGGCTCCGTTCAGCGGTACCGGTATTGTCTAGCCAGTAGAGGGGAGGAGCCAAGCTTTCTCTTCTGCCCAATCATCACTGCTGGCTATGGTCAGCACAAGGTAAGGCGAGGAAGCGTGATTATTAGCGAGGTTCCAGCACCAGATAGTATACCTAACCAAGCCTATTGAATTCGTTTCGACCTAACTAACTAGATAATATGTAGCTATGATTGAAGCATTTTTCATTCTGATATATATATGATATAATTGACACGTTTTCTTCTACTCTATATAATATATATTGATACAGACTGTCTTCTTCTTCTTTTGCCAAAGAACAGACAGGGTGTTATAATCTCCATTGCGTGGTGTTACACTGGAATGATTGCGAATCGGGTTCCTTCTCGCGAGACGGTTCTTGTGGGCAACGGACGTCTGCGATGAGTACAGGGCGATTCGGGAGTGGAAGCAATAGTGGCGGTGGATGGTTTGCTTTGTTTGTGAGCATTGTGCACTTTCAAAGCTTCTTGCTGATCGAGTTTGGCCACTTGCGCTGCCATGATGGAATTGGCGTGAGCGTGTTGGGATGCAAATTGGCGGAGACTCTTTTCGACATTGATGCGCTTGCCTCTGTATGCGGCACTCCGCAGTGCGAGACTCTTTTGGACCACGGCTTGGACGTACAGAGCGGCAAACTTGGGCCGTTTGGCATTGACTTTCATGTGATATTCCAAGCCTCTCCAATCCGTTTCAATAGACTTGGTCAAAACAAACTGGCGTTCGGCTGCCTCCAACTCGCTCGAAAATCGTTCTTGCAGCGTGCCACTGTGAAACCACAAATCGTCGTCGCTGGCGCAGGCGCCTTCGCCCACGGCCGTGGTGGATCCAAAACGAACTCGGGATGGCATGGTCAGGTTTGTTTGTGGTCTGTGGTAGTCTATTCTATTGTTGCTTGTGTGCTGGCTAGCTAGTAGAAGTAGCTGATGGAGAATCGATGATTATTTGTGGGAGACTTGTGTGTGATGTGAGCGAGACCAAAGGGAAGAGAGGCTTCGAGGCTTCCTTATAAATTTCCGCGGGATACCAGTCTCACTGACAGCGGATACCGGTGGATGCAGGGAGAGCCTTTCGTGGACAAAACATCGCCACTTTGTACTGGTAATGCGGTACTAGTACGACCCATTGACTTTGCATAAGAACAATGGTGAACCTCACCAGGCCCATCCTTCCCCAGCATTCACCTACTCTTATTACAGTCTGGGATGCATTTAACACAGGGATCATACTGTGAAATGTTCTGTACACATTCAGCGATGGTACAACATCAACAGGGGTATCGACGCTATTCTGCTTTGGTACCAATTGCAGTACCTGGTCATGTAGCCGTTTTTGCTAACTCCGTATGATGTTCATGAAACCATTGCTTTAATTAAATGCAGCTGTGTCACATGTCATTCTCTGATTCAGCTGAATTTTTAGTAGCAACTTCGGTACTTGCGTACGTGCACGTGCTACCTACGTACATGAAAAACTAATGGATGACATGTTTAGTGCGCTTGTTGGAGATGAGTCTGGAAGCAGCACTGAAAATCCTTTCAGAGGGTGCAGATGTGGCCTGCACAGAAAGGTAAATCTTGGCCAAAGATGCTAGGATAGGATAGAGAGATTGATTCTTCTTCCACCAGCCAAGTGGATCATTGTAGGTCTTGTCGTGCTTGCTCTTTCGAATTGGAAGTGAACCTGCTTCAATGTAACGCTTGAGCTCATCCTTGCATGTCTTCTCAATTGAATCATCGCTCGCACTTGCTTGTTTGCCAACTTCCACAGCAGCAACTTGCTGCTCAAAAACTTCTAGAGGATCTTCATCATCGCTGCTGTTGTCTTCATCGTCGTCATTGGCTTGCTTTTCTTCTTCCATTTTAACATCATCACCAGCTGAAGCAATACCACCACCAAGAGCATCGCGCTTTTCAATTTCTGACATCTTCATGATTTCAAGAACTCTCTCACGAATTGCTACCTTGGATCCCTCATCAGGAACAGAAATCAGAGACTTGAATCTTGGATCAAGTAAAGTGGCAATAAGGAGAGCAGGATGGATTCCAGTTTGCCTATTGCGTTCACCACGTTGAACTTCAGGATTGAAGACGGGTTCGTCGGCACTACCCCAACGCTTTTTAAAGTCTTCAAGAAGATTGCGAGCCAACTCCTTGCTTGCCGTAGTAGGACCACTAGATGACAATGCCGTAAGAGTGTCACAGATATTTTTCACACTGTACACAACCCAGCTCGCAGTGACATACTTGTCACCTTCCAACATTTTCTGAGCATCCTTGAATGGCTTCAAAACAGTCGTGATGTCTTCAAAACAGTCGTGATGTCATACAGATCATTCCAATCTCGATTGGTAAGCGGAGAACACTTACCAAGTTCGTTGTAAATGAACATAGTTTGTATCGCTGGCTTGAGCTCCAAAAGACGAACTATCATAGCATATGTAGCCCACCAACGGGTTACGACATCATCAATCAAACCTTTGGGAGGGCCTTCGCAGGAATCACTTTGTGCTTGATGCTTCTTGAGTTTTTCCAAAGCTTGACTAGAATTGTTGACGAATTTCACAATAGCCCTAGCCTTGTTGACACAACCAACAAATTCTTCACCAAAAGCATCCACAGCTTTTTTGGTTTTGTCATTGTAGCAGAGCTTGCAAGTGAGCTGAAGCACATGATCCGTGCAGTAGACATGAGCAATGTTCTGGTTTCTTTCCCACTTCATTCCAAGGCTGTTCATGTTTCCAGTCGTATCAGTGGTACCGGCAAATACCTTAGCTACACCAAGATTGAGCTTTTCAATGCTCAACTCAAGGAACGACTTCTCAAGCTCTTCTGCTGTAGTATCACCCTCATGCAAGAAGATGCCGAGGTCGACATTGTGCAACTTAAAATCATTGTCAATGAAGTGAGCAGTAACACCAGTGTAGTTCTCATTGCGCTTCGAAGTCCAGTGATCAAGAGTAAAGTTCACAGAAAGACCCGTCATAGTTTCAATGGCAGCATCTCTCATTGCATCTTCCAAGTTGATCATGATGCTTTTGACTTTCTTGTTGGACATAGGCTTGGCAGTCAAATCGTACGACTGAATCATATCACGGAATGAGTCTGTTTCAACAGTCTTGAAAGGACTCATAGAATCAGCGATCCATCTTGTTGTCATCAACTCTTGATGCTTCTTCCTTGCTCCAGGTGGAAGCTTCTTGATCCCACCACTTTTGACGCTACCATAGCTCATAATAGATGCTTGACGAGAGGTCTTGCGCTTCTTGCCACCAACTTCAGAAGCATTCACGTATTTGCTCATCAAGATATCCACAGTGGTGTTATGTCCTTCCACACGTGTGGTTAAATGAGTGGTGAGGGCACCATTGGTCCAACTCGTTTTCCCCTTTTTCAAGGTTCCACAAGCAAGAATTTTGCCACAGTGGTTGCACGCAGCAAACCGGTTTGTATCGCATTTCTCATTATACTTAGAGAAGTCAGCATTGGGCAAAGATTCTTTATCAATGTCTTTCTTGCCACCCTTCACAATATGAAAGAAGTTCCAAACATTAGATGTAACATTGCTTCCTGAGCAGGCTTCAAGGCAGAAAAAAACACTGGCTTTCGAGCTTTGAGTTAACCACTGCTCCTTTGCAGCAGTGTCACTATCACTAATACCACCGGTGCCAGTAGTAAGAACAGAAGTAGCATCCACGCTAGAACGCCTCTCTGCAGCGATTGTTGCAGGAAGGTCGGGCTGAGACATGACAAAATAAAACAAGCCAAAAACTTAGAGCAAAAGCAAATGCAAAAGAAGAAACTGTATTTTCAAGACTTGAACTCTGAGAAACTCAGCAAGACTTGAACTCTGAGAAACTCAGCTGAGCTCAGCTAAACTAACTTAGAACCAAAAGCAAAATGTGTTGGGGGCGGTGATTTGAACTCTTAATAGTCTGATTGCACTCTATTGTAGTGCACCAATACTGTAAAAAACGCTAACAGAAACGCTAACAAAAACGCTAATAAAACGCTAACAAAAACGCTGAGCTCATAGTAATAAAAAAACGCTAAAAAACGCATAATAGCAAACGCTAAGGGGACCTGTTAGCGTTTAAACGCTACGCTTGACCCTAGCGTTTGTGGTTCCATCCTCTATGAAAAACAATTTACAAGTTTCGGTACCGGTACTCGAGTATTACCACACTAACTAGTCAAAATTTAAGAGTTGAAGGTATTAAATAGAAGGTTCAAAGGCATTTAAAGCCTCGCTTCCTTTTCTTTCCTTGTTCAACCATGTACCGTTCATGAAGGATTTCCGATCTCAGTGGTAACCATGGCTTGGCTGGCTGGCTAGCTAGCCACAGCACTCCGCACTCAGCATCTCATCAGTGCGCCTCACGGCAGCAACAGCCACAGCAACAATGGACAATGGGGAATGGAAAGCATCGCAGAGATCAGAAAACAGAAAACGAACATCATAACAACATGATGTAGGAGCTGGTGTGGGAGTTTTTTTGTAATGGCCAATATACCCTGCCCAGCGAGTAGTCTACTGTCTAGTAGGATTCGATCATTCAGCTAGTAGAGAGAGGGTCTAAATGAGTTCTAATTGGTACTGTAAGATGCTTTCTTCCTTTGCCTCTTGTAGATCAGATGCCCCATACTGTACCTTGTCAGCGATATGGTACAGTATGGCTCCAGACCTTGCGGTCCATGCTATCGACTGGCATAGATCTAGTCTATTAATACAGTAAATGCATTGGGATGGGTTCGACTCCGCAGCCAAGCATGCATGGATCTCACCACTTCAATGCTGGTTTGCTCTAACATCTAACCCGAACTTTTCCTCCAACTGGATGCGGGTAAACAAACTCCACGTCCCCTCTTGCTTCACTAGCTAGTGTAGCGGCAGGCAACCCGAACTTCCAATGCATGCGGATCCTGCCTGGCCTATCAATAATCTAGTAGACCTAGACCACTCCAGCCCGCCCATTGCCCTTTTTGCTTCATGAGGCAGTTTTAGTTTAGGCACAACAACACAACACCGCTCCCAGGTGATGGTACCAGGTACCTATAACATCGGGCTCGTACCTGTGCGTACTGTTCCTGGTACTTAGACTAGCTCTTAGACTCATGTCGAAGAGTCCAACCGTGTCCGAGCAATTCAGCAACCGAGAGATGAAAGGAAGCACCTACACCTCGAGTCTGAACGTCTAAAGCCCCATTTAGTTACGCAGTCATCATCATGGGATTCTACTGCTCCGCCCCTTCCCTTTTTCATGGGCTTAAAAAAACATGTCGTCCATGAACAACGTGAACTTGCCGAATTTTTGATCGAATCGTCCATGACTCCTCAACAACCTGCCATAGATACATAGATGACCTAAAGAACCTACTACTACATGTAGTACATGTACCCTTCAGTGACCATCTCCCGGACACCCGTACCGTATCGTGGTCTATTACCATTACTAATAGCTAGAGCTAGATACCTGCGAGCACCTACATGTATGGACAGTACTTTGATCGTGGCTCCGCCTTGAGGCTTGGGATGATATTGTATCCATATCTTGGCTCGGTACCGGTACAGGCATGGATCCCAGCCATATTATTGTTCGTATGTCATAATGTTGTACAATCGGGGCTCTGGCTCGTGGAACGGAAGCTAATACTTCCTTGGCTTTTCCGTACCTTACCTTGAGATTTGTAGGTGTCCAGGATCAGATAGTTCAACTTTGTGGTTCTAACAGAGTGAGATTTACTTTCGGAGTGTAATGTTGTGTCCACGAGCCAAGGGGGCCTTGAAGCCCTGCTTGCCAATCGGAGAGAACGAGCTAATAGCTACAACAGCCGGTCCTAGCTAGCGGTACCGGTACTGTCCAAGATGCAAGTATGAACAGTCTTATGCAGTGCTTGAAGCAACCCCAGACTGAAGGCTCCAACATGTCCAAGACCTCTATTATAGTTTACATTCCTTTGTCCATCCCAGAGTACTACAAGTTGAACTTGGACCTTCCACAAAAAGCCACCAAGGTCATTTTGCTCGTTGTACAGAGTACTGGTACTTTACAGAACAACCACAAGCTCTGCGAGGGCCTTTGCTCTCCCCTTCCCCTGCGTGGCTCCTCCCTCCAAACTCCTGGTGCTTCATCTATCTTGGCTGATGCTTCAGCAAAAACACTGCTACTAAAGATTAGCCAGTGCTTCAACCAAAACACGATCTACACTTGAATCAATGACCATCATTTTATGGCATGGTGCGGTATCTTCGAAGTAACCCGTACCAGTACACTGACGTTCCCGCTTTTTGATGGTGGACCGCGCCTCCTGATGCTGGCTCGTATCGTATGGCACCACCACCAAGTCTGGCCAGCAATGGGCGGTAGCGACCATGCGCATGATGGTGGTGATTGCACCAAAGCCATCACAAGTCGTCTCAGCGAATGAAACGACGCAAGAAGCAATCTGTTGCCGTGCACTGCTCTCAAGTGCCCATGATCCAAATGCAAAGCCGGCTACATGCATGCAGTACAGCAGTCACAGTGTATGCTTCCTTTGCAATCGGCCTCGAGAGTATACAGTTTATTGTGGTGTTTTCTGAGTTTGCAGATAGCTTCAGGGACACTGCCGGTGAGATGATTCTGAGATGTCTTGAGCGTCACTACTCCCAAGTGGTTGCAAGATGAGAAAAAGCACAGTCAGACAGAGAACTACAACAACAAGGATGCATTGAAGCAGACATTTTCTTTCAAAAAGAAGGCTTACCCAATTTTTGTAGATTGCCAATCTCAGACGGCAGTGGCCCACGGAGATCATTGGTTTGCAAGAGGAGCTGCCGAATAGTTTGATGATATGTCAGATGATGTTTCCAAAGTGCACACAGCTAACTTAACTCTGCCTCGTACCTCCTTCAGGTCACTCAACAACCCCACCTCGCTTGGGAGAGATCCGCGGAAGAAGTTTGTATGCAGTGAGAGCTGACGAAGCTTGTTCAGGGCACGGAGAAGCTCTCCGTCTAGGGAACTAACCAGATCATTTTCGTGAAGTAGTAACACTTCTAGATTGGTCATTCCCTTCCACTCCTTTGGAATATACCCAGTCATACCACTTGCATCAATCGCAAACCATTCTAGAAAACACAATGCAAAAGGAAAGGGTGAAGTTGTGTTTCATTGGTTTGACAAACATTGCCGGTTGCTATCCAACTACGAGTCTGGGACTCACTCAGTTTTGGCAAGCCTCCGATGGACGTGGGCAGCAAGCTTCGAAAACGGTTGCTGCTGAGCTGTAGGTCAGCTTTTCCGTCACGGGGGCGCGACTTGTGAGATAATGGCTTGTCAATGATCCTTTGCAAGACTTGTCAAAGCTTTCACTACTTACTGAGCTTGACTAGGTTGCCAAAGACTTCTGGTATGGAGCCCGTCAAAGCGTTGTCGCCCAACCGTAGCATTTCTACATTCGCAATTACATATCAAATTAGATGCTCAACCGCTAACTCGTGGCATCAAACGCGGCCTGTGCATACTCACCTAGCCCCGATAAGCTGCTGATGCTTGCTGGAATCGCGCCAACAAGGTCATTCCCTTGGAGGCTCAATTCTTCTGCACAAGCGAGAAGTCCAGCAAATAATGCATGTGAGTGGGTTCTACTGTGAAGGGAATCTGGGCAATGAATGAGGCCACACTCACCCAACAGTGTCATACCACCAATCGTATCTGGAATACTCCCTCCCAGTTGATTGTTGTGCAAATGTAAAAATCCTGTCGGTACAGAATTCCGTCCGAATCGAATCGAATGATGGTGACGAAAAAGTAGGTGATGAGTGAGTACACGGCAAGCATTCTTCCGGATACAACCTACCGATCCGGAGTACTTACTCATTTTCGTCCAACTGGCCATTGACTTGGACGGCAAGGAACCGGAAAACTTGTTGTCTTGTAGGTACAACACCTTCAACATGTGGTGCTGCCCAAACGAAGGCACCGTTCCACGAAACTTGTTTCTGAGCAGGACCAGTTCTTGCAAATGTGGCATGTTCCATCGCTGTGGCAAGGCGCCCGTGCCTTGATTGTGTTGAAACCGAAACGACCGCAATTGCGTCCAACCCATGGTCCAGTCTTCCCATATGGGTCCTTGGATAGCATTGTACGAGAGATCCAGGATTCTCATGTCGGATAATGCATTGAGCTCTAGCGGAAGTCGACCCTGAAGTTGATTGTTGGTCAAGTTCATTTGGGTCAGAATACTATTACTGCGTTGCCCTCCCTTTGTCGTGCACGTAATCCCGTGCCACTCGCAGACATGTTTCCCCGTTAACCAATGCGTCTCATGGGTCCATTTCTTCTTCTTTTGGTTCTTCTTCTTGTTGGTAGTAGTAGTAGCAAAGTACAGTGTCGTCAAGACGAACCGTGGTACCAAATCGTGGAGCAGCTCGTGTCGTGTAGCAAGATGGGCCGGATCTTGTTCGACCAACCACTGCAATGCCATCGATGCGGGTTGCGTTTCATCGCTCAAGGCTTGAGGTGACGTAATGTTTTTTCGCACCAGTATTTCCACCATTTCCCCTTCGCGATCCAGGGAGGACAGTTTGTCCTCGAGACGATTGTGTTGTACCATGCGATGGGCCAGAATCGAGACATGAATCATGGTAGCCGCCATGGCCATGACCAGAAGTACAATCAGAAGCAGTCGTCTCCTGGAATAGCAAGTGGCTTGGCAAACGATGCAGACTGTAAAGAGAGTGTTGCGGAATGCCGAGGGCGAAGAAGAAGAAGACGTTGATGATGGATAATTCTGACTGTTGTTTCCGAGATTGCTGGGTGGCGGTGGGGGCGATGGAAGCACCACCTCGTTTGTGGATCCCCTTAAGTTGCTTCCTCTCCTGGCAAACCAATTTGGGAACCACCATTTGCGGTTGGCTCCGTTGGAATGATTGGTGTTGTTTCGGTTGCTACTATTGTCCATCGTTAGTATGGCGGATAATACATTGCGTTGGGACAGGTTTTGGTTGAGTTTGCGTTGGGAGAGATCCTGATTCAGCTTGCGTTTGGACAAGTCCTTGGTGGGACGTTTCCCTCGTCTTCGATTGGCGGACTTGCTATTCTGTTCCATCATATCCATTGTGGAGTCCATAAGATTGATGGATTGGTCGACATGCTCAAAGTCATCACGTTGCGAAAAGTATTTGGAGGAAGAAAAGGATGTGTCGGGTTTAGGGGCGGAGCGAAACGTTGTTGGTGCATTGCTGTTGCTAGAATTTGGCGGGGCTGTCGTCGTCCCAAGGCCCAACTGTGAGACGGCTTGTCGTTGCAAGGATTTGATTCCCTCTTGCATGGAATTGGTGAGTGAGGAGGGGGGTTGTGCTGCTGCTGCTGCTGCTTTGGTGGGACTACTAGTACTAGTAAACAAACTCCTTGGCCTCTGCGGGGGAGACGGATGATGATCCTGTTGAAATGTGATGGTATTATTGAAGTCACAGCGCAACTGTGACTCAGATCTCCACACCAAGACTGTTAGATGGTCCCCTGGCTTGCAGGACCCACAATTAGATGTAGATCCAGCAGAGCCTCCAACAGCTATAACAGCTATTGGGGGACACTCCCTGCTCAGCCAATGGCTCCCATAATTGTTTCTAACCTCCAGTTTATCAACAGAGCCATTAGCTTCAATAGTTAGAAAGCAATCCGTCAAAAACACACCCAGCACCCGCTCCGATCTACATCTTTCGCGCCAAAGCGCCACCCCCACAGTCACCACTGACACCCTCACAACACAAACAACAACAACAACATGAGCATCAGATCCTACGATCCCATCAACGACTTCCTACACTCACCGCTTACTCCAATCAAAGGAGAACCGACCAGAGAAACCATCAAACTCCTCATCACAGAAAACAAAGACAACGCCCGCCAAGTACACAGTGCCAGAGGCACAGCATCCGAAGGACATCTCCGCACCTGCTATCGCCTCAACGATTACAATGCCCGAGCTCACATGGCACCCACACCATGGGTAGACCCAGTCCATCCAGGCGCCCGAGCCAACATCGCCGTCGGAGCAACAGCCGCTCAAATTCAACGAGCCGTCTCTGAGCACCAATATGACCTCCAAGAATTCCAGATCTTCCAAGCCACCGAAAGAGCCCTCCTCAAACTTGCCATGAATGCAATCGAAGAAGTCTACTACAAGGGCTTGAAAGACCCCGACGAAGGATACACCATGCTCCATTACATGGATCTCATCGAACACCTGCAGGAGCAATTCGGTGGACTCACCAATGACGACCTAGACAAAACATCGAAAGAATGAACAAAAAGTGGTTACCCAACGAACCCATTCAACAACTCTTTAACCAAATCAACGATGCCCAAGCCTTTGCCCGAGGCCATGACAACATCACCGACCGCGCAGCACTTCGAGCCGGTCTCAAAAACCTAGAGGACAGTGGCGTATTCAACAACGCCCTCAAAGAATGGCGCCAAAAACCAAGCGACGACCAAACTTGGGCCACTTTCCAAACCTTCTTCCTCGCAGCCAACAAGGAACGTCTCCGCACCGTCACCACCAAAGACGCCGGATACCATGACCAACACCGAGCCAATGCCGCAGGAAAAAGCTTCGATAACCCCTACCTCATCCATTTCGCTAATGGCGAACCAATGTCCTATTGTTTCTCCCACGGCTTCCAATGGGATCTCACCCACAACAGCAAAACTTGTCGCAACCGCCACCCCGAGCACAACGAAAAAGCACGCGGCAACAACATGATGGGCGGCCGCTGCCAAGTCAAGCGCAAACCAGGAGAACTTCCCATTGTCAAATACCAACCAGCCCAACGAAACAGCAATGGCGGCAATGGCAATCGCACTCGCGAAAACGGAAGCAACAGCGCCAACCACTCCGAACGCACAACCGACCGCACGGATCGCACCACAACCACCACCGAAACGGACGTTAGCTCCCTCTCAACCCAACAATCCTGAACCGGAGAGGAGCCGGTAGCACATACAAGTAGTAAAAATATTAGCAAAAACATGTGACACTAGCGTCCGGTGCTCACCGCTAACTTAGGACACTATGCGTGATATGCGCGCGCTACCGACCTCGCCAATCCAACTCCATCTCTCTTT